ATTAATCTACATCTTTATGCACAACCAAATTGGCCAAGTTGAACGCAAAACCAAGATAAACATGACATAAGGCTACTCATGTCACTACCTCCACAGGGAGAACAAGAAGCTAAGGCAGGGCCTGCCACCATGTAGAGCCTTCCAGCTGGCCATTCAAAGGAATAATTCTGTCCATATGCACTAATGACCATTAGACAATATATGAAATTTTAAAATCTGCTTTATATACTTATTTAGCATGCTGCAGAAGAAAATCTAAACATTTTAGGGGAATGAAATATTTGTATAGTTCTTACTGAAGATTCTTTGGCTCTGTCAGAACTGCATAGCTGTGCTCATGACACTCGTGCATCTTTACACCTGAAGTTACTTGTCTCTGTTATTTCAGTCATTCAGACAATTCATTGAAGAGCATATTAAATTATTCTGCCAAAGAATTCACAGATATTTAATATGTGCATTAGTGTATGAACCTGTTGGATTCCTTTCCTGAAAAAAATGATGACTCAATGAAAAATTTGTAAGTCCTCTTTAAAGTAACAACATTACAGCAAATGGGAAGAAAAATAATTTTTTAAATTGCAGTAGTTATTATTTAATTATGTATATTTGAGGCAGGTCTTGGGTTTTTTTTTAACTCAGGTGTTTCCTAATTTGTGATTGCCTCTAATGCATGCAAAATAGCATGGGGGTCATATTTTGTTACATCTTTGCTTGTACAAGTTCCCTCAGATTAATGTTCCTGCTCTCCACTTTGTCTGGAGAACAACCAATGGGGCCTGTGGAAGAGGTGTTTGGCAACTGGAGCAGAGAGACTATATTAGCTCTACCTTTGCAGTCTAAAAATATCTCTGGTTTAGGATGGTTGGACAGAATTCGGCCCTTGGGATTTATAGCCTAGGCAGGTTAAGTGAGTGCTGTGCACATTAAATGCAGACTTTGAGGTAGGCCATCACATCTTTCCTAAAATGATGTTACCCTACGGTCAGATTTTTGTTTGTTTTTAATACTCTGTAAATTTACTACAGGGGCTTTGATGCATGTTTTTCAGCTTTAAAGCAAAGCTGTCTTCCTTCATCCACCACTTTACAATTTTAATGCTTTTAGCAGGCAGCTCCAAGACACAGAAATGGGCTCAGAAAGCAGCACAGCTAACAAGAATATCTGGAGCTCTTCTAGGAAAGATTTAAAAGAATACCCAAGAGGCCAGGAAAGGACAGAAAATCTTTTAGCCAGGCACCTGTCAATCTTTGACTGAGCACGTGGACAAAGCTCCACCATGGCAGGTTGTTCTTCAAGGTGCTGTTTATGCACCTTCAGAGGAAGAGTTTGGTACCAAATCAGTGTCAGAGACACGCTGCTGCTGCTGGTGTGCATCCCTGGGGAGGGCTTGCCTCTCTCTCCAACCAGTTCAGCTTTTTGCACCAGCTTTGAGCTAGCATAATGCCTTTGATGAGTCACTTCTGGGTTACAGCAGGATGGGCGAGGAACGAGCCCTTTTGCACGTCCAACAGAACTTTCTGCTGCCTGCACTCATTCTGTTTTTTGTTTGTTTGATTGTCTTGAAGTTTTTAACAGTGCTTTTGATCTGAGCCCAAGAATTGAAACCATCACTGGCAATGTGCTGCTAGAGAGAATTATGAAACAAAATGCAACCACAACACTTTAAATGTTGATTTAAGGGATGTCTAGACCTCATGCTGTCTTTCTGCACCAAGATTAATTTCTCATAGAGCATACCCCTCCTCCACTTTCCAGATTTTATACTAAAAGTCAATTCCTTATACTGTCTCTCAACTCCAGTCTTTCTGTAAAAAGAGGAATAACAGGGCTTCTGCTTTCTCATTTTCATTTGCAGTTTGGAAAGGGCTTGTATTCAATGGAAGTGGAGGGAACACTAAAGAGGAAGCATGAACATGTGTAGGGCTTTTGAGTTATTAGGTTAATTACAGAAAGCCACAAAATGGTAGCAGTGTAAAAGACCAAAGTCAAAGCATCCACTCATATTCCATGCCATTGCTGTTGACTCTGAAGAAAGATGTTCTTACCCTTGAGGGGCGTGTCTTGTGCTCCTGTGGGCTGATGCCAGCAAGTATTTCTAGAACTTCTGCTTTTGTTAGATTCACATAGTAGATGTTTTCATCTTGCTTTTATCTTTAGAATTTTCTCTCTTCCCGCACAGTTGTGGTGATTTGTTTATTCTGGTGTTAATAACTAGATCTGCAGTTAGTGTGTCTAACAGCATAATAATCCACATACACCAGACACACAGAGGTAGATTCAGCACAGAATATTCATTTTTGTTGGAGGATGGAGAAGAGTTATCAGCCAGGAAGGGTTTGAAATGCTTTCCAGGGTGAGAATTCAAGTGATCTGTACAGTGGCAGAAAAATATCCAAGAGTAATATTTTTTCAGTGGAAATTCCCATTTTAAGGGGGAAAAAAAGGACAAAGTAATGTTTCTGCTGTTTATTCTGGCAACCAAAGCTGCTCAAGCATTATAGAGTATAATACTCAGTAGTAATTCCAAATAAATCATTTCAGACTACAGACTTTTTGGTTGGTTATTTTTCCCTTCCTTTATAGTAGACAACATATCTAGGACAGAGTATGTCTTTTGCCTGGAGCTGCTCATTAACACAGGAAAAAATAGTAAGCCAGAAGAGTTTATTATCTAAACAGACAGGACATAGTGAAAGTAGAGAAATTACTAGCCACACTCTAGTGGTGGGAATAAAGGAGTATTTAGAGAAATTATTTGTTCAAGACGGTATCAACAGTGATGCAGAAAACCCCCAGCCCACCATAGTCCTGATCCAGTACTTCAAACTTTTGTTTCATCTATTTATTCTCAATTTGAAAGGATTTGATGGTTTTTATCTTTTTTTCCCCTACATTTTTATTATTGTAAGATACCTAAATTGTCACAGAGAAATGTTTCATGTCTGATGTGAAAGCCATGATCACTAGGATGCCTTGGAGATGTAGGAATAGTCAATTCCCCCAAAAAACCCCACCTCTACCTGAGTCCTGCACCACCCTTAAAGCCCTTTGCCATGCACAGCAGTGTATTTTATGCAGCCCCATGCCCAGAAGGGGTGGCCATATCCTGATGGACAAGGAAAGCAAGATGTTCATGTGGGCTCACAACTTTGAAATGTCAGAATGGTTCCAAAGACTCTTTTCAGTTTCTTGAAGCTCCCTACTGACAAAATATTTCTGTATATAGGAAAGTGAAAGAATGATTTTCACTTGTTTCAACTTACTGTATAACTTCAATCTATCTCCTAAAACCAGAAGGAGTTGCAGGGAGGTTTGCCTTCCCATTGGGTCTGACTTGAGGACCACTTTGCCACTGTCAGGGAGCAGAAGAAAAATGGATCCACTGGACATTCTCACTGGTCAAAATCCTCCTGGCAGCAAAGGGAGAGCAGCAGCCTTGTGCCTTGCATCTAATTGTGTAGATTTGTGTGGTATAAAAGGACCATGAGCATTGTGCTAGCTCTCTGCACATGGCAGGACTTCACTCAGCAACTTGGAAGGTCAATTAAGTATTAAATAGCACCCTGGATAACAGGGTAAGATCACTGGGTGAAATGTAATATTTTTTTACATATCATGAGCTGTGCACAAGGGCATATCTAAATAAAATGCATAGGAAATAGCATCACACAAATATGATCTACATTTTTTCTTGATCAAAGGGGCTGAGGAAAAAAATAATTAAAAAGTAAAAGCCTTATGCAATGAGATTTAAAAGAAAACTTCGGAGGCTGATAAGACGCATCTGGCACAACTTCAAAGTCCATCAAAGTACATATAATCAATGTTTGTCAATAGCAGTTTTGCATCCTTTAATTTATCCTTCATGGATATAAAGCGTGATGTTATTAGGATCCAGTCCATACCTTAATTCTGTTTGAGATTTGATGAATCAGGGCTCTATTAAAATTCAGTGCAAATCAGCTTACTCAAGGACACATTACATAAAGTCATGTGTTATCTAACTCCTTTTATCTTGCTGTCTTTCTAACTAGTTAAAGAATCTGGAATTTCGAAAACTTGTATTTGTGGCTGGCCACCAACATACTGAACCAAACACATATTGCTTGTAGGCACCTGCTTAAGGTATGCACATGTGGCATAGTCAGGATACCAAAATTCTTTCTGTATTTTTGGGGTATGAAATCTCCTTTAGGAATGTTCATGCTCCAGAGTAAGGGATCATCAGAAACAAGGTTCTCTGGCATCCAAATTTCAGTACCTGTCTTTGTCACCATAAAATCACATTCAGGATGGGAAATTTTGAAGCCCTTGTGATTTCACTGTTTTCTTCCTCATATTTCAACATGTGGACACTATTTCTATCACTTTCTTCCTTTTCAGGTTCTAAATTGTCTTGGAGAAAGAATGGTCACTTCATTTGTTTTTGTAACATGCAGCACAAACAATACCTGATCAGCAAAAGTTTGTCACCATTTCTGCTACAGAGGGTTGTTAATTCTCGCAATAATTCTCTGATTTCCTGAATTGCTACTTTTGTTACAAATGCTTCAGCCTCAGAGAATAAAGGTTACTCAAGAATTTAGATTTTTAATTTAGAAATATAATAAATCCTGGTTCTCACATTAGTGGAAAAAAGCTTGAGAACATGATCTCTGATTCATGTCTGAAATTCAGAAAATAATTAAATAACAGGTTTTGTTGCTTTTAAAAATTATATATTATGTAACAATGTCTCACTGTTTTTCAGGTGAGAGAGAAGTAAGTATGATTCACACTTTTTTTACAATTCAAAATAATAGTTGAAAGATAATTCAAATACATGGCAAATGCTTGTTTTTATTGTTAATTTATACTGTTCCCATCCTTGTTGCTTATTGATTTGCAGCATTTGCCACTGGTCAGTGCAGTGATTATCTGGACAGGATGCATTATTTGATCAGGGCAATCTGTTGAACATTAAACAATATTTGAAGCACGGTTAATTATTTGCACTGAATTAGCCTGGCCTCAAAAGACTGTGGCTTGTCTGAAAAATCATAGGCAAGAAGAAAAAGCTAATTTCAAATTAAAAACAAGGATGGTTATCAGTGCTTTGATGCTTCAGGTTCTTCCACTGGTTATTCTCCTAGGGACCACATGTTTGGGCGTGAGTATGTTTTTATTCTCCTTTTCTTTCTGTGTGCCAGCTCAGCTGTATCTGCATTTCAGGCCACTGAGGTGACCAAGTTAATGCAACATAAGAGGGAAGCCCCATGGGTTTGTTTGAAGCAGACATCTACAGTGTCAAGGAATGGCTCTTCTGGGTACACTGAGTGGCCACACCATTCCCAGTGGTCTGTGGTGGGAAGTGTGGTCTCTCTCCTGGCCCAAAACTCTGGGCTGCAGCATGGGCAACTCATCTTAAAATCATAGAATGTTTTGGGTTATGAGCACCTGAAAGATCATCTTGTTCCAACACCCTTGCCATGGGCAGGGACATCTTCCACTAGAGCAGGTTGCTCAGAGCTCCATCCAGCATGACCTTGGGTGTTTCCATGGATGGGGCATCCACCATCTCCCTGGGCAACCTGTGCCACTGACTCACCTCCCTCGCTGTAAAAACTTTCTTCCTTATTTCCAGTCTTCATTCTGAAGCGAGTAAATGTTTGATTAAACAGGTCAGGTAGGCCCTGCCTTGGCAACTTTGAAAACTCTTCTGTAAAAGCAGAATATGTTTTGAATGACTGAATTATCGTTGTCGCTAACGTGGGAGGAAGGTTAATGGCAAAATATTCAACACAGCTAGGGGTGACCAGAGCTCTGCTCTGGCAGAGCTTGATATACTTTCCTACATCTATTCATCTCCTCTTTAAAGAAGACTGGAAGAATGACTTGTAATCAAAGGAAAGTTAAAAGTCAGTTTTAAAAAAAGTTCTTTTGTTCTTCCAAGCAATCAAGTAGATTTTCTCATGAAGGAATCTGAGGTTCTTTAAAACATCTGCTTTCTTAGTGACTTTTCCTATGTGTGCATGTTCACATTTACTGAAATGCATTGCAAAAATTCAGATGTTGACGTGTTTAAATTGAATTCTTTGGGAAAAAATATATAATGAGGGTGTTTAATGGGGTATAGATATTTTTAAGAAATCTGGAATTTGAGATGAGTGATTTTCACAACTTAATAGAGTAATTAATAATTAGTGTATCACCAGGACCCATGCCACACTTGGTCCAGTATGCATGTAGCATCTTACTGAGAGGACCAGCTCTAGGGTACTTAAATGGCAGTTTTACAGACTTTGTGGGAACCCCATCTAATACAAATAAGTTCAGCATGGATTTAGCAGTGTTAATTCATGCTCAGTTAGGAAGATGTGGAGCCAGTCTTAGACAACATGATGTTTTGCCCAGTTTTATTTCTAAAGAGTCCTAAGTGTTAGCTTGAGTCAATGCTTTGACATTCCTAAGTTGACTTTGCTTTAAAATTTGCTATGGAAAATATACAGTATATCTCCCCCTGCTCCTGAAAATTCATTAACATTGCTAAAATGCAAAAGCAATTCTGCTGTCACTGAAAAGCAGCACGACAGAATATTCAGCAGGCTAGTTTTTAATAAAACATGCTTTTTCTTCATAATTAATATAACAAGGTTTTCTGGCTTAGCACTTGGCATGGATCCCAGAAGAAAAAAAAAAAAGAGGGAATGAGTTGCCATGATGTGACCATTGCATGACAAACAAGTTACGAGAGGATATTTTTGTCTTAATGATTTGTCCTGAAGAAAAAGTTGCACTGAAATAGTTTGAACGAAAAGATAATAGATGCTGAACTTTGCTGAAACCACAGAAAACACTCTTAAATTCATATTTTCTTCCTTTTCTAGAACTATCTTTTTAATTTTTATTTGAATCTGGTTTTAGAAGTTTTTATAAGTAATAAGATGATTAACAAATATTATTGGTGAAATATAGCAGAAGTCAAACATGGGTTTAAGCAGTAGTTCATGCTGAGTTAGTCACAATAGAACAAGAAAATACTTGGATATTCATGGATCTGGCAGGTTTGGAGCAGAAACCTAGGACAAAAATTTTCATTCAGTTCTTTCATACTACCTAAAAAGAAGCAGATTCCATCTGCATGAATCCAAACTATTTCCATAAAAGGCATAAAGCTGCATGGAGAGCGCTGAATTTGGTCCTTTACTTTAGAATATGTGATGTAACTGCATCAAAGATTGTTTTCACACATGGCAGGTCTTCTTGGGTTGGGGGTTTTACCCCTGCTTTTCATTCTACTTCTGCTCAGCAAGACACTGTAGTAGAAATATGCCTGCCATCAAGGTATTGTATGAAGTATTCCTTAATTAGTCAAAGAGAAAGCCAAAGATCTCTGCTGCAACTGAGCTGTGTATCTTCAGTTATCCAGACTTGCATTGAGGCAACTCTTCTGGAATGCACTGAGAGCTAAATGACATGCTTAAATGTTGTGCTGAGTTGGGCTAGAGAAATCTGGAACATGACAATAGGAAGTTGGATCCCACAGCCCTCCAGTGACAGCTCTTCCCGTACACCGGGCTGCAGCTCCCACTTAGCTGTGTTCTAAAGTGATTCAGCAGGAAAAAAAGTTATTTTTAAATCTACTGGTGTTCAGATCAGGCCTTTTCCTTGTATCAGATATCCCTGCAAATTCACAGTCCCTGGCAGCGGGGAGGAAGACTTGCAAGGGTCAGGGTAACAGAGGTGGATATTTTGGAACTTCACTGAATATTTTGGAACTTCAAAAAATTGATGTCCACTTAGTTGTGATGGAAAGTGTTTTGAAATCATGAGCCTTGCCCAATCCAATAACCAAGTGCATTTAGTAGTGGAAAGGGAAGGATAAAAGTATTACATTAAGATCAAACAATTGCAAAAAAGAAACCGTTGTCATAAGGGCCTGTCTCGGTCTTGGCCCACAGAACTACTGTTGCCAGCAGTGCAGGCCTTTCCTTGCCTCAGGCGTGTGGAGGCCAACATTTTAGGGTGTTCCAAAGCAAACTCTGTCTGACATCTTTTTCTAACCCCCAAAGGATCCGTTCCTGTTGTAAACTCCCCCTGCAGCTTCCCTCGCCCTCCCTGCAGGGCTGCCCCACGCACGCAGGGTTTCCTGCGCTGTGCCGATCACCGTGAGGAGAAGCCAACGCTGCCGAGCCCTCCTGGATTTGTGGCCATCGGGTGCAATGCCCTTCTGCAGTGCTCGCCTAAATTTGCCTGATGCAGCAGGAAAGCAACAAAGCCCTGGGAGCGCCCCCAGCTAATTTTGCACCGTGCTCTCAGAGAGGGAAGCGTTCCTCGCTGACCCCTGAAGGCAATCAGCTTATGCCCTGCAGTGTGCAGGTTGATATCCCGTGTAACTAAAGGGACTTAATGACTTTGCATAAGCTTTAAGTCTAGCAGTATAACCTGCATTCCCAGTACTGGCTGCAGGAGTGTTTGATAGCACAGACACTCATGTTAGTGTGACTAGCTGGCTCCTGCACGCCCCTGAAACACATTTTGTAGCTTCCCTGTGCTGCAGCATCCAAAGCTGACCCCATTTTTCACCTGGGAGCACAAGTGCATTTCAATCACCAGTGAGCTTTGAAAACATCCAGCTGCTACCAGGCCACCTCTTACAGAGCAAAGATTAATTTGGCAACTTTGATCTCTTGGAAAACAGGAGCAGATAACTCCTGAGCAGAGGACCAAACTGGTTTCAGCAGCACCTCTGAAGGATCTTGCTTTTTTTTGTATCTCTGTGGGTTTTGTATCAGGAGCTACCATGGGAAAGGTTCACCAGTAAATAATCAGCAAAATGAAGATTTTAAGTGTGAATTTCTCTGGGGCTGGTTCATAAGGAACACACCATTTACTCTGATGCACAAATTGCAGTTCAGTGTGGAGGCAGGAGATGCCTTGTTAGCAGAAAAGTGAAGAAGTGAAGAGGTTTTGGTGGAATCCTTTCAGAGAATGGTTTCCCAGGCTAAAAACACAACATGTGTGGCATGTGTGCTCCAGATGATAATATGCCCTGCTTTCATTATGCTGCAACCATGGCCTTGGCTGAGAAATACAATGTCATTTCTGGAAAAGCCACTTTCCCTTGAAGTTCAAAGACTGTCACTACCCAAGATGGTTGCAGGCAAAAATCTGGCCGATTGTAAGAGCATCAGAACTGTCGATTCCCTCCTCCTTTGGCAAGCAGCCCAGACAAAGGTTCCTACTGAGAGCTGTCAGCAGGATCAAGGGGTTCACTACGAGAAGGCAGTAGCTGTGTCTGCCCTCGTGGCTCCTTCATGGCTTGTGTCACTTGTGGATGGAAGTTGATCAAATATCCATCTTCATTCTCCAGTTCAACCCCATCCCACCTCCTTCTTGGCTGTAAAGCTGTGACTGCACTCATGAACAAATGAAAGCATAATCTTTGTTTTTCTGCCACAGAGGCCACTTCATGACAAGTTGTAGGAGAATTTGCAGGACTTAATGCAATTGAGAGAATAAGCCAATTCCTACCAATGCAGTTTAATACTGGAATTCCTGATGTGCTTTGTTGCAGTTTCTGTGCATGTATAGAGCTAATTTTTGTCTCTCTTAATACTCTGTCATGCAAGCTTGAATGATTGCACTGTTTTCTCTGGAAGTCTGTTTTGCACACATGTAAATTCACAGCATAACCCTGGGTTGTCACCTTTTTGCTCTCCTTCTCCACCTGCTTTTGTGTTTTAGTGATTAATTTTTATTGTAATAAGAGGTAGCAATGTACCCAAGACACAATAAACAGTTCAGCTGGAGAATGGTCTTGGCAGCCATAAATAATTTCCCTTGAATTTGGGACCAAATCTTCCTGGATTTATTCAGAAATAATTGCTAGAGATTAACTGGACATTTTCGTCTGAGAAAGAGTCATAGGATTCCATCCTGAGATAAAGAAAGCTCATGGTTCTGTCATTCCTGTTTGAAATCTATTGCATTTCATTAGTCTCTCTTTCTTAAGGAGTTGAAATGGGAAAATTGCATGTATCATGTATGTGCAATGTAATTAGTACAAAATCTATTTAGCAAAATGTTGAAGATTCTTTGGAAGAATGACATTTTACTGAAGTGCTAATTATTACAGTGACAAAATACAACAAAGGTCAAGTGAAATTAGGATATTTTGAATGTCACAATTTTTTCTAGGAGACCTGTAAATGTAGTTGGCTCCATAGTCAGCAGTGCACTGTACCCATGTAAAATGTCCCTCTGAGTTTTTTTTTTTTTCTTTTTACTGTTTGGTTTTTTTTGTTTTGTTTGGGTTTTTTGTTTTTGTTTTTGTTTTTTGGTAGGGTTTCTTTTTTATGAGCCTGAAGTAGTAAAATTTAAAATTGCTCACTGCAAATTCATCCAGCTCTGCCCCTCATCGCTGCAGAACTGCTATGAACAGCATCCAGTGATTTTATTCCCTCTTGAGAGAGCACACAAAGTATCGGTGTCGAGCTGCAGCAAGGAGACCGTTTGGCGAAACCAGCCCACGGTCTAATTTCTTCTCCTCCCGCCCCGCTTCCTTTTGTTCAAATCCTGCTCCTCCTTGGGCTCAGTGTTGCACCTCGTCGGAAGGACAAGATCCTCCTCTGCTGGCCACGAGCAATACGGCACTGCAGGCAGGGGCCCTGCCTTCTCTGACCCTGCCTGCCTCCCTCCTGCAGCCCCCTCCTGCACCCCCACGCTGTGCACCCTCCTGACAGCCTTCTTCTGTATCCATGTCTAACATCCTGCATGCCCCATCCTGCATGCCCCATCCTGCATCCCCCATCCTGCATCCCACATCCTCTCCAGCACACAGGAGGGAAGGAGCGAGCTCTTCCTCCTCCTCTGCTGCACACCACCCTGGCAAGCTTCACGCCATGAGTAATAAAGCTGAAATTTGGCCCTCTCCTGGCTAGCAGGGGTGAAAATGCTTCAAAACCAGTGTGGTCTGGTGAGTGGTCTAAGAGACCCCAGGACAGAGGAGAAAACTCTCCATGCTGAGAAGTCAGTTCTGCCTGAGGTTTTGTCCCTTGTGGCTCTGCTGCTGCAACTTGTGACAGGCACATGAGGAGGGAGAACTGCAGCACAAAAGGAGATACAGGAACCTTACAGTAAAGATAGTGTTTAACTCTTGGATTCTTTATGCTGGGTGCTCCAGAAGCCTTTGTTCCAGTAATATTTATACTGTGGCAGCAGACAGAGGCTTTCATCCAAAAGCAGGAATCAAAATCTGAGACTCAGTCACAAGCTGAAGGATGATACTGTAAACCTGCACATTGTTGAGGGCACCACATTATTGCCAGAGGGAATTTGGGGTACCTGTCTTTCTGTGGTCAGTTCTACCCATGTTTGTACAGAGCAGCAGGTGGGTAACCTGGGAAAGAAAGTAGTGTAGCACAATGCTGCATCTCTCATCTTTCCTATTTCCTTGGGGTACGAGCATTGTGAGACTGTCATCTCCACCCGTCAGCTGGGGAAACTGAGGCACAGAACAGCCTGGTGCACCTCACTCAGCCTGGGCTGAAACCCTCCAGCATTCCCTGGGGTGCCAAGGGTTGCCCCTAGTGCAGGGGCAAACACACTCAGTCAAACCTTTCAGAGCCAAACCTTTCCAACCCCATAAGGCAAACACCACAACAGGGCAGCACCGAGAGCTGGAGAGCGAGATGAAATGTTTCTTGCATCATCCAGCTCCCAGTCCTGCTTCCTTGCTCTTTGTCTCATCTGTGCCTCTAAAAGAGAGGAGTACACTTGCAGGGTTTGTTTCAGTCTGTGTTTATGGATGAACACTACCACTAATTGTAAATAGAGCAATTAGACTTTTTAGTCTCCATTGGGGTCTGGCAAAGGATCTGACAAATGCTGTACCTGCACTCAAGAAACGTATACACCAAGGACAGAGCTTTTACAGCCTTCTCATTTACCATCATCTCTGTACTCATTCAGGAGGGGCAATTGTGTGAGGATGTGTGTCCTTCCAGCTGCAAAGGATTTAGTGCTGTATGTGTGTGGCTCACTCAAATGCACCTGGGAGGGGCTCTGCTGAGTGGTTCAGGGGACATTGCTCTCATTAAAGTCAGTGGGGAAGGGGAGAACTGGAGTTCCTGTTCTCCCTGGGTCAAACACAAGAGGGATGCAAAGGTGCCTGAAGCAAATGCTCATTTATATATTCCAGACAATATTCACAAACATGAATTCTGAGCTTTTTATTTTGTTCTGTTTCTTATTCATTGCTTCTGATTAATTTGTTCTTAGTCTCAACCAGCATTATCTAAGAATTTCTTTTTTCTATATATAATGTGTGACTAAACAGGGCCCATATTTACAGTTAATTGTATCTGTAGCAATGCATAGGTGCACGTAATAATTGCATGTGTATGTATACTGTCTTTACTATGTGTGTTAAATTGTTTGGAAATACATTTTATTCCCTAAAATTATGTGAGGGATGAAGAATAGCAGCTTCAAATCTCCTTCACACCCACTGTTAGCATGTGTATCCTCACTGCAGGTGGGTAATCCTGTCCTCAGCTGGGATTTAGAGCAAGAGGGAAAGCAAACGGAAATTGTCATGCTGGGAACGTGTCCTGGTGTAGAGTCAGTGCCTTTCCTTTCAGAAAAACCTCACTCACACTCTTCAAAGGCTAAGAGCTGTTTTCCTCCTTCTTCTGTTCCCTTTTGTTGCTTGCCCTTGATCATGAGCCAAACAGGAAAGGCTGGAGCCCCATGTTGGAGGTGGGACACATGGCATTTCCTCCTGGAGAGTGCCAGAAATATTCTCCTATATCCAAAGATTGTTGACAGCCTTCCAGCTCAGGAGTCCAGGTCCCACTGGGTGCACCAAGTGTAAGGTCCCGGGCTCTGCTGCACTGCCCAACACCCACTCTGATGTGCCTGGGCACCTCCCAGGCTCAGCTTTGGCAGCCAGCTGGAGCATGGCCTCTGTCAGCATCCCAGAGAATCTGGACGAACAGCCAGTGTGCCATCACCTCAGAAGCAAAGAGACAACTTAACTCATTCAGGTCAGGTTTGCTCCAAATCAGACTACCCAGCAGCTTAGGCTGTATGCTTGGAAAAACCAGACTCTCCCAAGGGTTGTTGACATTTTGTTACCCTTTTCAAAGAGCTCTTAATATCTAGGTCAGTTAGCTCCAAAGTGGGGGTGGGAACATCCTTGTCTGGATGTCCAGCATTAGAGGCAAACAGAATCTTTGTACTGTAAGCAAAGCTCTGTGCTGGCTTTTGCTTTATCCAGAAAATGACTCTCTGACCTTTATTATCTCATGCAGGCTTCTCATTTGTCCTTCTGGGCCAGCATGATGGAAGGTAAGTGGTTTCAGTTTCTTCATTTCAACTTCTGCCTGCCACAAAACTGAGAGGCTGGCAACCTGGTTCATCAAGACCCTTCACTAGTGCCCAGTCCTGAATTATATTAACTTCATGGAGAGCCTTGCTGTGCTTAACATATGGTCTATGATCAAGTAGAAAGTCTGTTTGACTTTGGACAAGTAATATGGTGAGTGCTTTCAGACCCCCACATGTGCTGTGTCAGTGCAGGAGACAATGCTGCATCGTGTCCCAGCCAGGAGTGTGTCTGACACACTGGAGACTAAAACAGAGGTACAGCAGCAGTACCAACATTCAGCTGATCTCAAGGTTCTCCTGGATCACACCTGGAACTCTCAATTCTGTCCCAAACCAGGGCTTTTCTGCCTTCTTGTTCTTTGGGAACTCATGGGTGATACAGTGGGCCATGGTCTGGAGGAGAGGTCATGGTGCTGGGCTGCAGACCTCACAGAAGGATGAGCAAAGAGCCTAGTTGGGGATCAAAACTGGAGGTCAAATAAATGAAGGCTGACTTTCCCTTGCAGCATGCAACTAACTGTGGAACTTATGCCTGCAAGGCTTAGTCCCAAGTGCTAGAAGATCAGAAACAAGCCCATGCAAGTAAAAATCGTTAAAGGCTGTGTTGCATTAAGATGTTGATAAGGGAAAAGCTGTGATGAATATTGTGTGAGGATGTGTAGGATGTGTGAGGATTTGTATATCCTTTCACAACCTACGTGGTCCATGTAGAAGATTATGATTTTATTGATAAGTTTAGTATTTTTGCAGGTAACCCCTGTTCTTTCTTTTCTTGATTTCAGTGGCTGTTGGACCTGAGTTTCTAATGCATATCTAATTAAATATTACAATAATTTTGCTCTTTTTCTTTCAAAATAATAAGGTGGATTTTAGTATGCACTCATTATTCATCTACATTCCTTTTCATTCCAGTAGTATTTGGGTTTTCAGGTCAAACCAGAAATCTTGTCACTCATACAGCGGTGCCCAAATCAATGTTGCTGTTCTAACAACCTGTGTGTAGAAAACAAATTTCCAAATAATTTTTATGTCTGAGCTCAGTATTTGGGTTCTGCAAATATTTGGCCACAGTCATGCACTTGATTCAGAGTTTACACAGCCTTGTGCAAACTGGTTGATCTGTTTTTTGATGGTAGCTTATCCCTTTAACAATTTAACTCATACCCTGCCTTATGGTGTATGGTCCTACACCTCTCTCTGCACTGTTCCTACAATGTTCTCCCCATCCCCCTTAGCGTCTCCACTCCTTCAGCCATCACTATTCCCCTTCCCCATCCATCCCTCTGAGGAAAAAAGTGCTGCAAAACTGCTTTTAAGTAACAGCCACAAAACTATTTGAAAGGCTTTCTGGCTTTGTTGTTAGCTGGTCTTCCTTCTTTCTGAAGCTGCAGCTACTCCCAGCCACAGCCCGCTTGGAAGGGAGGAAATACTGTGAGGTCTCATCTCTGCAGAAGTAAATGTGGAATATCTCATTATTTAAAATACAGTCAGGATTTCAGCCTCATAAAAACAAGACTGCAATAATCTCAGAGCTGGGGACAAAAAGTATTTAGGGGGTGGTAGGAAAACTCATCCTGCTTAAATTAGGCCAGACTTCAGTCAGTCTCCAGAGGTTCAGAGAGCTTGAATAAATGCTGGGTATTTTCTGGCACTCTTGATGTGTGTTGGCAATAGGCTTTAACTCTGCACATCACTCATCTTGACAACTGCAGTCCAACAAAGTTACCTCGCAATTCAGGTCACCCGATGGCATCCTAATGCATCACTTTCCCACTTGGAACATTAGTCATCACTTGATCCAGGGAAGGTTTTGAAAACAGTGTGACTGTCGGCATTGGGGTATCTGTTCTCTCCGTAACAGAGAGCCCGTGTCAGCTAATGAACAAGGGGATATTGATCAGAAATCCATTGCTTGATTGACAGCTCTTGGCAATGTGAAAAACTGCAGATGAAAGCCTGCACAGTTTAAAAGATCACCCAGACCTCAAAGCTGATTTGAAGCTTTAAAAGTCAATCTCTGTCTATCAATTATGGGGGGATTTTTTGTACTACACAGAGGAAAGTTATTCTTTGAAAATTTGCATGCAGGATGTCTAATTTAATTTCATGTAATAGTCACATTTCAGTGACAAATGTCAGATCACTGCTTTTTTAAGCATGTTAAGGTTTTCCAGCACTTACAAAGAGTGAACACTCTGATTTAGTAATATGTTTAAATCAACCAGTGTATCAGACTTTGTGCCTTAATTATGTGCTCAGATAAAAAAAAGTGTTGCTTTTGCTTTACTAAACCTATGGCTTGTTATGAATAATTAAAAAAAACTGGAATGGGAACACTTCTTAAATAAGAGATATGGAAGTCAAATAGTTATTTAGTGTCAGAACAGTGATAAATAAGAAGACATCTCTTAGTTTGATATCATATGCCCCAGTGAGGGTTTTCTGATCTTTGTTTTTCACTGCTTTGTGCAGCTGGAGATGACATGGAACAGCTGGGAAATGGGAAACATCACTCATGTGACCTGTAGGAGCTATGTCTGTTTCTCAGTTTTATAATAAGGGATAGCACTGGGGAAAGCAGGGACACTGGTCATTTCTCAGATCTGTTGCACTCTTACATCACCTTGGCTGGTCTCCCAGCCAGTAACCTCAGCTTCCTGACTCCCATATCCACATGGGGGACAGGGTCCCAAATAGGGTTTGCTGATGTCTTCTGAGCCCTTTCCACATGAACCCTGAACTCTATGCCTTGGCCATTACATTTCTTGAAATGGTGATTGCCAGCCCTTGAGGGCTGCTCAGGGTTGGCTGCTTTACCTCAGCCTTGGCAACCTGAAGCTGCCTTCTTCAAGGGCTGCTGGGTGCCCAGCTGGCCTCAGGTGTGCTATAGCCTCTCCCAAAACTGCCCCATCCATGCACATGGGGGATTGTGCCCCCAACCATCTCAGAGCCACCAGAAGTAAGTCTTGCAAAACGTGAATTACATCTTGGCCATCTTGTTTACAGAAGAGATTAACTTAAAAATCGTTCCTAACATGTCAAGTAATTACATAAGTGTGCTTAATAAATGATTAATCTGTTGCTGAGAAATCATGCGAAAAAAAAAATCAAGTGACAGTAGTGTAATTTCTTAACAACACACAGAGCAGTTGGCTTAAAAACCAGGGTAGATGATTCTACAATGGCTTAGCTATTTGTGCTCATTCAAGGCACTAATTTTTCTGCTATTGATTCAGGAGAGTCCTCACCAGCCTCTGTAAAGCATGCTAGCATGTTTGCAGTCTGCCTTTCATAGATGTCACTCCCCTATTCATCCTTCATAACTTTTAGCAGGTATATTTTTCCATAAAAAAGGATACCCGATCCTTCAGACAGCAACTGTGGAATAAAAGCCAGCATGCCCCTCTAAGATTCTGAAAATAAACAGGGGATACAAAATCAGACTACTTCAGAAAGTTCCCTCAACCTCAAGTCGTTTGCAAAATCTCCTCTCCAACAAAGTGAACTTGGAGGCTGCATTTCAGGCAAAACTTCCTTTTTGTTTTTCTTCCTTAACTACATCACATTAATTTTAATTTTTTTCAGTGTAGACAATGTCCTTATCTTTCAGCAAGATCCTTCTGTTCCTCAGCAAGGCGTACACTTCTGCAACACTTGCACACAGTCAAGACTCAGCTCCTGTGGAAATAATGAGCTGAGGAAAAGGAGTCTTGACTTGACATAGCAATAAATGAGGTGAAACTTTCCTCTATTTTTTTTTTTTGTGAGAAACGAGAGTTGGCATGTAGGAAGAAAAAAAAAAGAAAAAAAGATGGTTCTATTTTAATATGAAATATAAAACACCCATTGTACAAATGTGAAATTTCTTTCTTTTTTTTCAGAAGCAAAGAAAGAATAAAGATAAAGGCTGCAAGTGAATGAATGAGGAGAGAAAACTAAGATAATGCAGTCGATAATCAGTTCAAGGCAGAGCATTATCCATGGGGCCATCGGTCCAGCCCTAGGGGAGAGCTTTTTAAAATGTCTCTGTACGTAGCTTAGCTTTGCTCATTACCATAGCTTGTCTTTGAAACACTGGAGTGGCTTCCACTGGCAAGCGCTGTACCTGTGCAAGGAGCCGCCAGCCCACTTTAATCCAACCCCCCTGCATGGCTGGCACAGCCACGCTCCCCGCGGGCTGGCAGAGCCAGGGATGGGCTCCTCAGCCCATGTCTGCAGCGCCAGGCCCTCCCTGCTTGGAGGCTGTTTTGTGGGTGGGAAGTCACAAAGTTGTGCAGGTGCCTTGGGCCTGTCCCCCCAGCTGCTCTCGGGATGGGGCTCTGTGTCCCCACACACAGCGGGGCCCCTGTGCTGGGGAGGGCCCTGCTTCGTTCTGCAGCAGCAGTGGTGATGGTCAGCAAAACAGCTGGACAAAGAAAATCCCTTCTTCTTATAGGAATCTAAATCTCTTTTTGTGCCGGTACCAGCCTCATCATCTGCCCTGGCTGTGGTACCACAACAGGGTCTCCTTATGCTTTTGCCTGGAGAGCCCTGGCCTGCGTCCCTTCTGGGGGATTCTGGAGGTCACCAGAGGAGCCAGCTGGGCAGCCAGAGCCCCAGTGCCCTCCAGGAGCATCCTCGAGGGAGCACTGGGGCCAGCTGTGCTCAGGGTGACCATGCCGAGCACTAGGTGCGGTCTGCTTATGCCAAGGAAGACCTGAACAGCATCTTTGGTCCTCAAGATGATCACTAAACCCACTGACATCCCAAATGAGCTGAAAGAGAAAAGTACTGTCCATCTCAGGAATAACTTCTTTCATAACTTGTCTCCTTCCAATTTTAATTCCTCTGTTCTTTCACTCTCTTCTCACCCCTGCAGATGAGGCTGATGACTATGAGAACTACTACTACTCCACAGAACCGAAGCGGGACACCAACCGCCAGCAGGAGTTCTCGGAGGAATTTTTCTGGATCAGGACAATTTTAGATGACATCTTTCCCATGGAAGGTACCTGTCAGGGGTGGGCAGGAAGGCAAGGAAGGGGTAAAATCCCAACCCTGTGCTTGAAGCGTGAGTGCGCCAGGCCTGGCTGCCAGCCTGCTCTCAAAATGCCTGCATCAAAGGGGTGAGTTAGGAGAATTGTTTGCAGTGTTCTTCTTTGTATTTCTCTTGTAAGGATCCTGTGTTTTATCTCCAGGTTTCACAGGATGGATTCTGATCATGCAGAACATTTCTGATTGCTACTACAAAAAAGCACAGGCTTATTTGTCTATAGACACTGTAAGATGTAATTGTTGTTTTCATGGGATATATGTTCTGTATTTATGCTGGGAACCAAATGTAGAGCAGGTTTTGTTTGTTTTTTTTTTCTTCTTTTATCAGTTGCAGGGGTTTTATTTCCTTTTTATTTTTTGCTTGCCAAACTTCAGGAGAAGAGGAAAGGATCCTAGAGATTGCTCAGAGGACTCAAAAGGAGAGGCAGGGAAGTTGACTATCTCTGCTCAAAGGAAGGGACTTGCCCCATTACAGCTCTGTAATAGGGCAAGGGGAGTAGAGGATCTCCAGACCCAAAGCTATGAGCCACTCCAGCTTGGAATAAACTCTGCAGCAACTCATACCACTCCTGTGGGTGCTAAGTTGATGCACAAGCACAGCACTTACAGGATGCTGTGCCTAGGAAGACAGACTCCTGCAACCGCAAAATGCAAGAAGAAAAAGCAGGTGATGAAGGTTGAGAGGCTGAAAGATCTTCATCCTTACCTCTGCAGACTCATGCTCGTCCAGCCCCTGCAAGAATGGTGGTACATGTGAAGCCAGAGGAAGTGGCTTCAGCTGTCGCTGCCCCACACCATACGGTGGGACTACATGTGAAAAAGGTAATGGCTCTTTTGCTAACCTACATTCCTTATTTTTGTAGTTGATGCTACTGTTGCAACTTTATAAACCCACTGTTTGCTGAGATGAGTGTTCTGACAGCCCAGAACAGTCATGTCCATAGTTCTTAGGCCCTCATCCAGGCCAAAGTCTGTCTAAAGAGCATCCAGTGAAATGAACTTCAGGAGTGCAGAGAGTGCTTCTCTATGCCCTGCAAGGTGGGCAGTGAGGAGCTGCTCATTGGTACCACAGATTTTTTGCCATAGATGCCATGAACAAGGAGATCCCAAGTCCTCATCTGTCAAATGAAAGCTTCCTTGGACTGTCAAGGGAAGGCATCTTCCCTTGATCCCTGCAAGGGCACAGCTCTTGTGCACACAACAAATGCTGATGATGTGTTTTTTATGTGTGTTTTCCACAGTGGAGGACACGTGTCTGGAGAAGAACTGCCACTTTGGCGACTGCCTGATTATATTAACCCCACCTTATTTTAAGTGCAGCTGCAAGCCTCCCTACAAGAGACCCTCCTGCCAGCGTGGTGAGCACTCAGCTGGGCACAAATTGTGGTGGGGCTAGCATGGCCAGTCTGCAGTGGGAAATCACCCACTGCAGAGGGTGATCCTGCCCTAGTAATGCTGCAGCTCCCATCCATGGGCCAGGCCAGTGATGAGTTGTGTTTGATTTCCAGGATTTTCTCTGGTAAAACCCCCAGAGATATGCATTCTACAAGATTTCATGAGAACTCAGAGAACTCAGCCACTCCCAACAGGCTGAGTGGGAGTTCTCCCCAGTTTCCACTGGGCATGCAAGTGGCTGTGTAGTTGTTCAGCACATTGACAAGGCTGTTCTGTGTTTTCCACGTTGACAGCTTCCAAACAGTGCAGCCCAAACCCTTGCAGAAATGGAGGCACCTGCAAACGGAACAGATACAGATCAAAATTCACCTGCGAGTGCCCTGAACCTTTCAGAGGGAGATTCTGTGAGATCGGTATGTCACAGCCCCTCAGGAGGAGGGAGGGCTGAACCTCCAGAGAGCCAGGGCTGGCTTCCCCCTGCAGCCAGACTAGCTGATGCTATTCCTGTAGCATCCTGTGGTGACCTCCTGTCACTGTTCCAAGAGCCTGACTACACCGAGGCATCGGGGACATTGGAGAAAGGGTCAGAGGAAGAGGCTGACTCCTGCAGCTACTGCTGGCACAGGGACTTGAAACAATTCCCTTCTTGGTGTTTTCTAAGTGTGCTTTGGCATGGTCCCACTGGTATATAATAAGTGAGGACCAGAGGTCCTCAGAGGCTTCACGTCACAAAGGGAAGAAATGTTGGGATTTCCTTAAACATTCAAAATCTGCTGTAGTGAAGATGCCTGTGACTCTTCAGGCTGAGGGGACTGCTTCTGGTGGGTGACATTTGAAGTCAATCAAGCTAGATGTTGAGACATTATTCTAATTTCTGGCCTGTGTACAATAAGGAACATAATTACTTGTCCCAGTAGGTACTTCTGATCTGCCATAAAATGAATGTACAACAATAAAGGGAAGGAAGAGGAACTGCTTTGGGCAAGGAACAACACAAAAATAATTTTCATATAAGCATTGTCTTTCTACAGGACCAAATGATTGTTATGAAGAGGACTCCTCTACATATAGAGGTAGAGTGAACCAAGCAGAAAACGGCAGGACCTGCCTGCACTGGAATTCTCACCATCTCTTGGATCATCCTTTTAATGCCTTTATGGAGGATGCTGACTCCTATGGCATTGGTGAACACAACTTCTGCAGGTAATATTTTGAATAAGCAGCTGTAGAGGTCTGTATCAAAGAGATCTTTGAGGACAAAACTGCTCACGAATTTAAGAAACTGATGGTGTTAAGATTTCACATCTTTTTAGACACTGCCTGTCCATAAAACACCAGAATGTTAGAGATGCCTTCTCTAACCATGCTGATATGAGGCTTCCAGAAGCTGCCCTCTTTGTTTTGAGCCAGTCCCACATTTTTCTTATGTCTAACATAGGGAATAGGCATGGGAATAGTAATATGGCAGTATTGTATGCCTCACTCAGGCATCTTCTTTGTCAATCTTATGAAATATTGTCTTTGTTCATCTCCCATATGGGAACATGAAGCTTCCCCTTAAGAATCCTCAGCTCCTTCACTAATTTCATGGAGATTTCCCCGTTCCCCAGGGAACGGAGGAAATCAGTTCACTGGCTGATTCTCTCAACTGTTCCCTTCAGGAATCCTGATGGGGATGAAAAACCCTGGTGCTACATCAGGAAAAATAATGAAGTGGATTGGGAATACTGTGATGTTTCACCCTGCTCAGGTAAAGAATTAAAAGCAAGTGATTTGGCAGCATGTAGGTGGTCTAGAGCAGCAGGTGACTCCCTGCTGCTTAACCCTTCTAGTCTGATATTAAGTCTGCATTGTACATCTGCTGTCTCTTCCAATGCAGCTGAAGAGACCCCAACAGAACCCCCTACAGACCCCCCTGAAATATTCAAAACATGTGGACAACCAGAAGTTCATAGGACACTCAAGAAGATCTATGGTGGTTCCAAGGCTACACCTGGAAAACATCCCTGGATGGCGTCTCTGCAGACACGGACTCTAGATGGGAATAAACATTTCTGTGGTGGAGTGCTAATTAAATCATGCTGGGTTCTTACTGCTGCACACTGCCTTCAGTAGGTGCATGTCCTATCATTAGGGTAGATAAATGTATAAAAATCAGGATGGTTTGTGAAGGCAGCTTGGTATCCAAATTATTTGCAATCAAAATGATTGCTAGGAGTCAAATTGAAAGGGAAACATATATGTGGACAGAAAAAGAAATGAACACATTCAAAAAAAATTTATATACTTGAAAATGGTGCTAACTGAAATAACAAACTTAGGCCCCACTCAGACAAAATGAGCTAAAGAAGTTGTGTGAGAGGAAAAAAAAAAAAAAGTAGGAAGATTTTGTGATGTGTAAAAGAAGAACTCTATGCAAACCTCAAGAGATATTGGGATGCCATAAGCAACATCACCTATTACATCAGAATTAAGTTATTCAAAACAGTCAAAATATGCACTTAGCTTTAATTGTTTTCTGTATCAGCTAGCTTAGAATATTACATTTTCTTCAACATTTGTATTGAATCCGTTGGAAACCACGACCCTAGGAAAAGGTAAATTACACACTGGAAATAATTTCAACACATATGATTTTAAATATGCTGAGAAAATGGCAAGCAACTCTACTCCCATAGCTATATGAGCTGCCACTCATCATCACTGCCACAGTAATAGACTGTGCACACTGCTACTCTGCCCTAAAATGTAAACAAAACCATGTAGAAGCAGCTTTAAATCACTTTATTTCATGACTGCAACAAGTTAAGGGCACATGCATTTTCCAACACCACTTCTTTCCTATCGAAGCCTTCCTATAATGATTTTAGGAAATCTTCTGGCCAAGCTTTACAACAGGCAGAAATATCTTGACTTCTTGTTACTAAAAGTGCAGGTTTACACCACCACTGATATAAAATGTCTGTGTATAAATTACTTTTTTTTTCCCAGAGAACCAAAACCAAACATCCAAGTAGTCCTTGGCAAGCAGAACCTCAAGAAGAAGGAGGATCATGAGCAAATATTTGATGCAGTGCATATAGTTTTACATGGCAAATACAGAGAGGAGCCGGGTCATGCCCTATACAATGATATTGGTAAATCCTTTATTTGATACTCTCGTGGCTCACCTCCAACCTTTGTTTGAAGTGCCTCTCTCCCACTGAAGACAATGCAAAATTCTCATTGAGACTATGCTCTGGAATAATCAGGGAAAATTGTGAAGATTGAATCTTGATATGCAAATTGTGATGGGCAGGCAGAAGTTGTTGTTGCTCAGGAGGAGCCGAACAATAGGAACAGGTCCAGCAGAGGGGGGCAAACGGAATGCTGGGTTTATGCAGCTTGGCATGGTAACAGCTGCTAAACAACAGGGATCAAAGTTAGCTCCAAATACTTTTTCTTATTGTTTGTCTCCCCTCCAGCACTACTTAAACTGCAGCCTGTTGATGGTTACTGTGCAGTGGAAACAAAGCATGTGAAAATAGCATGTGTCCCTGACTTCTTCCTTCCTGCTGGGACCTCCTGCTTCATTTCTGGATGGGGGAGTACAGAGACAGGTACTTGTGGGCTAACTGGATTTTGGTGGGTGCTCCAGTGGCAAGGTGGGCTGCTACTTTCAGTAGCAATTGCCAGACCCAAATGAGGACTTAGACAGTAGTGAAACCAAGACATGGAATTCAAAAATAAAGTTAGCTAAACCATACCATGCAAATTACTCATTAGCAGAAATCTGCAACTGCAAAATCCACCAAACCTGTCAAGAATTCTGATAAGATGCCTGATGCATTTTTTAGCCTGCCATCCGTCTCTCCATGTCATGGTCTCATCTGAAGCCAGCTACAGAAGCAAGGCAGTATCAAGAGAGGCTATTGTATGGCTTGTGTGTTTCAAGACAGGACCAAGAAAGACAGGAATTTTCACATGGTTTTCCAGCCCATTGGGTCAGATAAAGCTCTTTGGAAGCAGCATCTGGACCTTCAGATGAACTGAAAAATAAAAAAACATCCCAAGCTTTTCAAGTTCAACCAGCTCTATCCAAAAACCTTTCTTGCCCAAGGTAATTCCCAAGGGGAGAAATTATTATGCTTATAAAAAGATAATGGCAATTTTCTGAAAAATGCATTATCTCATGTTCTGATTGATGTGTTGCTGTAAAGCAGCAGAAGGAAAACCTGTCACTGAGGCTGCAGTAGGTATCCCAGTGCTTTGTGACTGATATAGCCTGACACGGTACATGGGACTGAATTCTCCCTTCATGTAACTCCCACTGAAGTCCATAAGAGACAAGTGTGTTCATTTGATCAGAACGCACCAACAGAATTTCATGGACTTTTTTTTAAGTTCCAAATAAAAAGTCTCCCTTAAAAAGAATAAGGGGGATTTTATGGGTTTTTCCCCCCAACAAAGAATATCTAATACCCTGTACGTGTTCAAACTAAATGGCTCCTTCTTTAAGCAGAGCTATTATTAGCATTTCAGGAAATCACTGCAGAAATGGAATATTTCCTGAAACTCAAGCAGAACCAAACTTATAAACCACCTTTAATTATCTACAGATGTAGTACTTTGAAACTAAGGCTATTGCCTTTAGATGTCAAGTTATGTCTTTAGATTCACTGTAATTAATCATTGCCCTTAAATATTGTATGATTTTCAGTTTTCATCTGTTTCATTAGCTTGCATGTTAAAGCATCTTAATAGTAGCAGTCTTAGAAGTGCTGAGCAGCTCAAAGTCCCATGGGGACCTCTGGAGCTGCAGACAACCAGCACCTTGGAAAAGCAGGATTACACAGAGAGACCTGATTGGAACTAAATTCTGAATATGTGACTTAACTTTTATTTAGACAACAACGCTGTCCTGAGTGAAACTTCAGGGTCCAGCTCATTGGAAACTTATTATTTTATCCAGATAGTTCTTTCCTTCCCAGGCTAGCACATGCATGCCCTCTTGTGTTCCCCCATCCCATCTGTTTGCTAAGCAAGCTGGTATTTTGAAAAAAGGACAAATTATGAGAGGAATGGGAAAAAAATGACTTCATTGTTTTGGTGCATATACCATAGGTGATTTATCCCATCAGCTGTTAGATGCCAATGTCAAGCTGATTTCACAGAGGAAATGCAATGAACCCAAACTACATGATGACAAACTGGACGATAGCATGTTTTGTGCAGGAAATCTTCGGAAACCTGGAATCGATTCTTGTGAGGTCTGTTGCTTTTTCTGTATTTGAGCACTAATTTTTTGTGTAAAGAGTCAGGCTGTGCAGAACTTTGGCAATGTGCTGCATATGTATCTGTTCTCACATCGGTGTATTTCAGCAGCTTTTCTGCAGTACCCTTGGAGCCATCCATCCTTAGAGCTAATATTGCCACTGTCACCTACAGGTGGATCAGGTGGATCTGTGGAATAAAGAGACTTCAGAGGCAGTTTGTCATCATAACCTGAAAACTTGCTCTTTTTTCCCCTCTATTTTGTTATGGTCTCTACCTCAACTGCCAATTCTAATCTGATTTTCACTATCAGAGCTAAGGCTTGCAGGAGTCAATATTGATGTTTCTTTTAATTACAGCTGACACAAATGTAAAACAAGTTCATACTTATACCATTAAAAGGTAGTAAACAGTTTGAACAACACTTCCTAACGTGCAAATTACCACTGTAAAGTGTATTTTGCAATAGAAATCAGAAATGAAACACAAAAAATGAGCAAGCAACTCGGAATAAGGCTATTTTGAGGCCTGTGAGACAGCTTAAATTTTCATTAATTCCAGGGATCACATCTTTATCTTTCTGAGTTCAGGCTCTGAATTCCTGGTACTTTCACGCCTGGGAAATTTCGTGTGACCTTGTCAGATTTATGTCACAGACTGGAAAAAATTGAAAACTTACATCCAAAAAGTCTGGTATCATTTGACCTGGTAACAGAACTGCAAGTCCACTTAGGGGCTAAGCAGCATCTGAGGGTACATCTGTTAGGAAAAAAACATCATTACAGCTTCAAAGTCTTGTGATGAGAGAGAAGCATTCTGATTTTGGTTACTATTTTGCTCCATGCTTTGAACATGTGTGCTTTCCTTCATCAGGGAGACTCTGGAGGCCCACTGACTTGTGTACAAAATGGCTCCTACTATGTATATGGCCTCGTGAGCTGGGGTGAAGGATGTGGGTTAAAAAACAAGCCAGGAGTTTATACCCAGGTGACAAAATTTGCCAGCTGGATTAATGCTGCAATTCAGTCTGCATCAAGGTCATGAGGAGTGACTTGGAATGACAAATGGTAAGATTGAGAGTTTTACTGGTTTTATTCATTCCCTAAATGCCTCATCTTTGATGAAAATGATTACTGATATTTTCTCATGGCCTACATGGGACATCCTTCTGCACCATCTTGAAAATAGCCTTAATGTCAGTGAGAGTTTTTCTGTTGTGGGCTTTGCAATAAGCCCACATTTTGTAGCTAAACAGATTGGAAAGTAAAGCTACTCCATTTCTTCTCCAAACAAATCAAAGGTCTTGATATCATGTTTCTAGATCTGCTTTACAAGCCATGAAGATTCTCCCATCTCAGCTGCTGCCAGACATTTCCTCTTCCCCTCATGCTTCTCTCTAAGCTGTGTTTCTTCTGAACTCACCAAAGCTATTGGTGTGTGCTCTTAAAGCCTTTACCATTTTTCACACATACAAGAATCACCATGTGATTGAGTTTGCAAGATTGCAGCCTTTGGAATTTCCTAAGGAGGGAGGATCAGGCAGGACAATTATTTTTAAAAGCAGTTTTGTGGGTAAATAAGTACAAATGTCATTAGTGATGCATTTCAGATTGAAAAACCAAACAAACTTTTAGTAATAGAATTATCCACTTTATTCCTGACTAGAGAATAATTACATATTATGCTCCAGATCTACAATGGTTTATATGTACTTAACCAGTGAGAGCTAGTAGTACTAAATGCTATTAAAAAAACTGTCTAAAGCCATTGGGTAATTTGAGAGTTCTCATAAGATGTACCTGTCAAATTGTGTAATTTTTGCCCAATGATTCTGCAAATAAATTTGCAAAAGAAGGGATTGGTATTAAATCAGGCTATAAATAATAGACTTGTTTGTGAAGAGTAATTTTCTTAAAACAGTAATGTCATTCTCACTTGAATTCCAGGGTTTACAACCTCCTCTAAGCGGCTACCTAATGTGTCAATAGCTACCCCTACTGCAAAGAGTGATTCTGATTTTTTACTTTGGAAGGTTTGGAAAAAACTGAAGAACTGATGACCTGAATACATCCTGATAGTCTAGAACAGATTCCCTGATGTCTGCTAGAAGACCTGCCTTTGGCAAGTCAGTGATAACTTTTGTCCCACTGGCCTTTGACTTGTTCATCTCTTAAACCACCTGAATCTTGCTTTTGTATTCTCTTAGGTAAATGGTGCCAATATTCCAGGAACACAAAAATATCCAAAAATTACATACATGGAATAAGAGTCACCTGATTTATTCATTACAAATTATTTCATATTCTACCATCAGTGGTACAAAGCTGAGCCTGCCAGTCATCTAGTACTAATTTCATTTACAGCTTTAAATAAATAGCGGAATCTGTAATACATTCAGTGATAAATCACAAAGTATCCACACAAAAATAAAATTATCAGTTATAAATTGCAATGTTTTGATTGCCTCTTAAAACAAAAATTCTTAAATGCCATCTATTGTGTTTCCCAGAAAACTGGAAAAGCTACAGGATGTGCAGGACAAGATGAAGAACTATTTATGTTATGTCATGATTCTGTTTACTTCTGATAAAGCTGCATTTGCCTTCTCTTGACTTGCAGAATTTCTGAAGCATCAGGATTGACTCCAGCTTGCTGAGATCCTTCTGTCTCCAACTGGTCCTGTAAAATCACAACCCAAAAAACTGTGAAACCTGCCAGTAGATAGGGGAGGGTTTTAACTATTATTCTGTAACAATATTTCATATTCAAAATTACACAACTGGCAAAAAAATTAGGAAAATCTAAATCACTGTTCTGCATGGAGTGAATTTCTGCTGTGGAGAAGTGCAAAATATGGACCTATTCATGTAAGTGATATACCTCACATACCAAAGGACTAAATGTGCTCAAGTCCTAGTTTCTATTTTGAAATAAAAAGCAAATCAGCAAAGGCCTATGTTCCACACAGATTGCACACCTGTGGGTTTCCCTGGGGCCATCAGGTCATTATCATACCTTTGACTTAAGAAGATGCTGTAATTCCCACTGCCTCCATTACTCAGCCATAGTTTTCACTTATTTCCTGAGCAACTTTTCAGATGGGATTGTAAATCATGGATATATACTGTTTTTCTTGGTCTGGATTATTGTTTGACTTCTTACCAAATTAACAATTAACAATTAAATGATCAAAGCATGTCAAGTGCAGTGCTTCTCTTTCATTGTAGCTGAATGCTTCCTAACTGTAAGGGCTACGAGACTCCTGTATGGACTTGGACTGCTCTCCTCTGCTGGGACACTGCAGCCTGGGAGTCATCCCTGTGACAGAAGGCAAGCCTGGAAGATCCCTGCTTGTCATGTCTTTAACCTTGAGCTGGACAGAGGCAGAGGGGGCTGGAGCATTGCCCCTTTGCACAAAGCTTCCCACAGCACATATTACGCTGTCAGGAGCCAACACTCAGCCTGTCAGTACGGCTGCCAGTGGAGATTACATGGCAACAAGTGGTTCCTGATTAAATTAGGAAAAGAGAATGGGACTTGCATGGGGAGTCCCTTCTACCTCTGTTTCTGCTTTCCTCAGAGGTACTAGGACACTTGGAGATGTGACATCATTCACAAGTTGGGGAAAACACATCCTGACATGACACTGCTGAATTCCCTTCAACAGTTCCTTCAAATTAAGCTGTACACTAATGCACAAAGCTTCATGAGGGAAGTGCACATATCCTGTTCAGGTAACAGGGAGAACTGTGGACTCTAGGGAGCATTAAAAAGTGTTAGACAGGATGTGTGCAGGTAAGGAGCAGAGCTGTTGGGATTTGTGAGAAGGATGGTTTGCACTACTTACAGCTCCAGGTCTGTACTGAGTAGAAGCCTGCAGCAATCCCATTTCCCGAAGGTATGCCAGCTCAGCAGCTCTTCTTGCCATTTCAACTTTGTGAGAGCCTGGGGGAGTCCAGCCAATGCCTCTGAGCCAGTTCAAGTCAGACTTGTATTTTATCTGAGAGAATGAAACATGGACCAGGATGTATTATTTTGTTGCACTCTAACCAAATCACATGCCCTGGGTATTCAACAGAGAGCATATAAAAGAGCAGCAGAGTCAATAATAAACAAATTATTCATTTTTAGCAAGCAGACTGTGGTTCTTTCAAGATGATGTTGTTGGCAGGTAAGGTTTGCAAAGGAGATTGCACAGACAGCCCCCAGCTTAGGGAAGGACAGCATTGCTCAGCCACACTTACATCACTCTGCAGCTTGTAGGCCTGCTTTGCATGCTTCACATTTAGCTGCTCAGGGTCACAAGTGTATTGGTGCAAGGGCTGCCTGTAGTTAACATTGCTTGCAAGCTGCTGGCTTCTCTTGGCATGGAGGAATCCTGGCTGGTTGAGGTGACTCTGGAACTGTCCCATGTTTAGGGCATAATCACTCCTGTACTGGAGGTCACTCTGGAGTTTCCCCACTCTGAGGACATGTCTGATTTTGGGATCATCATTTGCATTGAGGAATCCAATCCGCTGGCCTCTGTCTCTCAGGAAGGCTTCTCTGTATTTGTACTGCGTGAAGTACAGAGGAAAATCTCATTTTCACATTCAAATTACCTTCAAATTCTGTTATGAAATAACTTATCCTCCCCTGGCTATCAATCATGTTTCCTGTAGTGCACAAAGAGCAAGGGTTTGTTTGATATCAAACCACATCTCCTAATCTAACAAGACACTTTAGAAGAATTATTTTTGTGATCATTTTTAAAGGAGTGGAAAGACTTAGGGGGCCCAAAATGCTCATCTCTCAAAAGTAATCAGAGATCTTCCTACTGTTGCACTCTTGGGTACACACAATACACAGCTCAACCAATGAAGCTCCTCCATCTTTAACTTTCTTGCCAGCTGTGGTCTTCTGTGTTCAAAGATAACCCACTTTATCCTAAACCATGCTTTAACTATTCATAGCCTAGTACATATATTATTTGATTAAATCATAATATGTCTTCTTCCCAAGAAAAACTCTTGGGACATAAGACAGAACAGCCTGGTTTTGGACATTAGTAATGGCAGACTTCAGTTGGAAGTCTTTGCACTTAAGCAGCACTTTGTTTCATTGGATCACCAATTTTCCACACCAAAACAAAGACCACTCATGTCAGATTTCACCCATTTTTACAGGATGGGGTGGCATTGGAAGAGGGTTGGGAAGTGCTTGAAACAGAACAATTCTTACATCACTAGCAATCTCTCTTGAAGCCTTTGCTGTCTGGAATGGGATGGCGTCAATCCTAAAATCATAGCCAGATGCCCTTGTCTGTTCCCAAGATGTTTTATACAATTTCTGTGTTGAAAAGAAAAGAAAAAAAAAAAAAAAGTCATTTCCCCCTGCAGTTTCTTAAATGCAGTCCCATAACTGCAATAATAAATGTTTTATCCTACTGGGCTTATTTGTATCAAGAGTCATCAGTACTATCTCCAAGGTTTTGATCCAGTTCTATAGCACTTCAACTTCTTTTCTATTCACCATAATGATAAAATGCCTCATCTGAAAAGTGCCACCAGGGTTTCCTTTTGTACTTGAATGTGGTTGTTTTTGATGTGATTTAATTTCTATTAGAAACTGTGATGCATCAGTCACATCAATATTGCATTGATATTGCCCTTATTCTCTCTTTTGATGCATCCACTCACAGTGTCTTGGGTTTCCTGGCATCCTAATTTCAATACCAGTTATTTCAAGCTTTTCAAATGATCCTCATCTCTATCCCCAGCCACATGTGGCTTCATTAACTCATGTGGAATAACAGCCGGTTCTAATGTGACTTTGAGGATGTGAATCACATTTACATCCTGAAGAGAAATTGCTCTAGATTTGGTTCTTCTTCTATTAGTAGCTTTCTTAAAATAGCTTCCAGTCTGCAGGTCCTACTACACAGCCATGGTATCTTAGCTAACACTTTCAGCTGTCCCTTTCTGATTTTATTCATTTGCTTTCTGTCAGTCTTTGATTCATCCCTTCTGGAGTTTGTGACCATAGGAAAAGAAGTACAAAATCCACTCCACATTTTAAGACCATCTTCTGTTTCACTGGTGACTGTAGTGCTAGGTGGTATCAAATTTGAAAGTAAATTTAGATGCCAGAAATCCTGCAAGACAGCCAGGGCAGAAGCAATGTAAGCATCACCGTACACCCTGCTAGCAGGGATGACCTTTCATTTGTGTGCAATCCTTGCACATAATATTTGCCTTTTTACATTTTCCTCTATTGCTTCAAAATGTAATTTCTACTTGTTTCTTTCACCTATCTCAAAGCTCCTAGCAAACTAAGGTCATTCTGACCCTACAGGTAAAGACAACAGCTATTTAGTCAGGGAACAGGACATTAGGAATAGACTGAGTTCCTCTGTATGAGATAATGTGAAAACAAATTTTCTTTAAACTAATTTCACTCACTGATTTAGTTACATACAGATTGATGACAACTATGCCTAAGGGATCATTTAACAGTGTTGCAGCTTCAGAAAGGTAGAATATATAGTCTAGGAAAGAGGAGTCTCCCTCCTCTCTCACCCAAACAAAACCAAAAAAATTTTAATTTGTATCTAATCGTATCTGTAATGAAGGTTTGAAATTCTTAATAATAGCTTACTGCCCTTGAAAATTAAATGATTGCTCAAAAGAAAAATTTGCACACTTGTCCAGATTCCTCCAGCATCTGTTGGCTGTTCACTGCCTCTGGCTTCTTTTAGTTCTCGTCAGGTTCAGAGAATTTGGCTTCTATATATATGAAAGTTTTTATTCACAAACAAGTTTACCAAGTCAGCTTCCCAAAGGAGAAGGTTTACTTACATCACTGATGTAGAGTGCGTTCTGGCGGGCTCGGATAAAGTCCGGATGATCAGGAGGCAGCGTGTACCTGTGCCTGTCTTCAGAACCTCCAGCCTTGTACAGTCTCTGTGGGGCCAAAAGTCATTGAATGCGGGTGATACGGGAAGCAATGTCAAGATCAATTCTTTCATGCATTATGGTACAGCAAAAGTTAAGATCACTTGTACAGTAGAATGAAACCTACATCATTGCACTGGAGGTAGCTGTTTTTGGCATGGATCAAACTTGGAGAGTCAGCCACAGCAGTGAACTTCAGACTTTCTGGCTTCTGACGGTACTTTATCTGAGAGGGGCAGGAGGCAACAAAAACAAAGGAAAAAAACCAGGAGATGTTTCTGTTAATGATATATGACAATTCCAGGAGTGTGATAACTGGGGTAAAACATAAAAGACACTTTCCTGAAGCCGCTGTTCTGCTTTAGTCTCAGTTGCTCTTTCAGCGAGGGACTGGGGATGCCTTTGTATCAGGCAGAGAACTTTTTTGTGAGTGCGTCTATGTGTGTGTGTGCACAAAAGACTTCCCACTAAAATTGACATGCAAAAAGCTTTTGAACACTACACTTTTGACAGCTCATAATTTTTCTCCATTAATGCATGATACTGAGCAGGCAAATGCCCCTTCATTGTGGTGTCAGTGCTGTATCTTTCTATACAACTTCCATAACCACCTGCTTAGAATTTCATAATGGAGTTTCCTGCATTTATTTATTGCTACATGTTTTGCTTATACTCTTGTGTTTCATTTGGAATGGAAAATATTCAGCAGGTGTCACACAGTGGACTTGCGTCTCCCATACTGCTTCTTGGTAACTTACACCTTGTATAAACAGGCTCCCACATCAAAAGGAAATGATAAGCTACATTCGTAAGTGTCATGTAACGAGGAGCCTTGATGGTAAACAATTCCTACAGACTTGCTATCCCATGAAAGATTTATCAGTTACCTCACTGATGAGCTCTCCAGCCTTCTTTACACTTTCTATCTGCGGAGATCTCAGAGCCATCCAACCAACTCCTTTCATGAAGTTCAGGTCTGATTTATAGCGATGCTGTTAAAAATGAAAATCGTTAACTATCAGTTTTGTATCCACAGCTATTAAGGTTTTTTAAAAAAACTCCCTGGTTCATATTCACATTTTGAGGTTTTTCATTTGCCATGCACATATCAGATCGTAAAGCCAAACTGTTTGCATTTGTTCGTTCCACCAGGAATTAAATAATGTATCATATGCAAGTTACAAGAGAAGGCCCCACGAGTGAATTAGTATGACTCAAAGCAGCAAGTAATAACCTGTTTGTACTGGGCGTAAAAGAATCTC